GACAGACTGGCGACCTGTCCAGGGTGTACCCCGCCTCTCGCCCTATGACAGCTGGGATAGGCTCCAGCGCCCCCCGTGACCCTGAAAAGGATAAGTGGAAGCGGATGGATGGATGGATGGATGGATAAAAAACATTTTCTGGGAGGGCGATTGTCTTTCTGTCTGTGTGTTTGTTTGTGTGTGCTTCAAGGTGTACCTTCACCCACCTTTTCCACTTTTTCCTCCCCCAGACACCTTTGCTAGCAAAGTGGCTGCCATCCAGGACCAGCATGCGGACGCATCGGTTGGGAACGTCACCGGCAGCAACGCAGTTAACGTGTTCCTGGGGATCGGAGTGGCGTGGTCCGTGGCTGCCGTGTACTGGAGAATCAAAGGGAAGGAGTTCCAGGTGGATCCTGGATCACTGGCGTTCTCCGTCACGCTCTTCACCATCTTCGCGTTCATCTGCATGTTCGTGCTGTTGTTCAGACGCCGGCCCTCCATCGGCGGAGAGCTCGGCGGCCCGAAAGTGTCCCGCCTCCTGACCACCCTCCTGTTCCTGGGTCTGTGGTTCCTCTACATCCTCTTCTCCAGCCTGGAGGCCTACTGTCACATCAACGGCTTTTAAAGAGGAGATGAAGAATGTTCCAGAAGAATTTTTGCACAGCAGCACACACAAAATCTTTGACTGTCAGTCTATTCGGTCCACGGTTTAACACAAAGTGTAAGATTATCCATGAAACTGGCAGGACATGAAGCCCACACATCACCTACAGAATCAAAAAGACCTTCCTCGTGACAGCGTAAACCCAGGTCACGTACTGGGTCCAAACCCCCTGAGTACTCTGAGTAGTATGATCTCCATGCTGTTCGTAACCTGTAAAAAATATCACTGTGTGTTTGTCTCCTCCAGGTGATGGCGATGATGACGAGGAGGAAGGTCGTGAGGAGCGCCTTCCATCCTGTTATGACTACGTCATGCATTTCCTCACTGTCTTCTGGAAGGTTCTGTTCGCCTGCGTCCCGCCAACAGAGTACTGGAACGGCTGGGCCTGCTTCTTCGTGTCCATCAGCGTCATCGGCCTCCTCACCGCCATCATCGGGGATTTGGCGTCGCATTTCGGCTGCACCGTGGGGCTGCGGGACACCGTGACCGCCGTGGTGTTTGTGGCGCTGGGAACTTCCATTCCAGGTGAGTAAATGTCCCGTTTCACCGTGTGAGAGAAAGAA